ATTTGTTTTAGTTTTAAGGGTTAATACCACGAAAAACCCCAAACCGGTACATCTATGATAAATTTATCCCAAACTAATTTTTTGAACACAAAAAACTCTAAACTGGTACACCTGTGATAATTTTACCCTTAATTTGTTTCCGTTAAATTTTACTGTCAAATTATTTTGTTAAATTAAATGCGGCGGTTAACGGATTTACCGGTTTTATGTTTTACCCTACGTTTGTCACAGGTATATCAATTTCTAATTTTTTATGGTATTAATCCAATTTAACGAAAACTAACGAAGGGTAAAATTGTCACAAATGTACCAATTTAGGAGATTTTGGTGGTCAAAAAATTAGTTTGGCGTAAATTTATCACAAATATACAAGTTTAGAATTGTTGGTAGTTAAAAAATTAATTTGGAGTAAATTTGTCACAGGTGTACCAGTTTAGGATTTTTCGTGGTATTAACCCCAGTTTTAATCCTTGTTTTTTAACCACTCAGCAGTGGCAAGGTTGAGATGACTGGTGGTCCATTAAGATCAACCCGGAGATCATTGTGAAGCCTAGGGTGGCAGCCACTTCAGTACCACGAGTTGGAGACAAAGCTACAACCAAGCAGCACCGAAGCAGAGTTCTTAGAGCTGCTTATCCCTCTTTCGAGTTTTACCAAAACTCATGAAAAAGCGACCCTGACTTTCATACTTGCAATGTCTGATGCCAACAGGAACATACAAAATCTGTAACCTGATGTTCATAAGTCGTCAAGCAGAGAGAATGTTAGCTCTAATTGTCTCAATTAAAAATTGTATTTTAATTTTGATGTTTTGCTTCTCAAAAATTAAAGGAAAAGTAGATGTCATGATTCTAACACAAAGGAAAATCAAACTGGACCAAAACATAAAATTTTCCTTGAAAAAAAACAAATATAAAACTACAGAGATAATTAATCCAGTAGTGTTGAGGAAAAGCCATTGCTCGTGCAGGTCAATCAGCGTAATTTGGGGATTTTTGTTGACCAACTTTACTTTTATTGTGGGCCATATAGCAATTTGCTCGTTCTCATCTCCCACCAGCACTTTTGCTTTTCGGTCTTCCAAGGAGTCATACAATAATTTCAAACTTTTTAGAAAAGAAAGAGAGCCATTCTTCTTCTTTTCACAAATGGTGTTGGACCTTTGATATGTAAACTTACTCTGTTTAATTACGACCGAAAGCATCTTCTTCGGCCATACCAGTAGGAGGCGAGCATTATTTCAAAGTAGAATCTGAAACTGGAAAACGGGACCGTTAAGAGTTTTAAAGTATGCAGGGTAGGTTATAGATTCAAAAAATTAAGAAATCTATTTCGATGGGTAGGTTCCAGATTCTAGGAATGTGGAAGTTGGAACCTGTAATAAGTTTTTGTCTATTTCTTGATTTATGTCTTCACGCGATCCTGTTAATAAATGTATAATCTGGAACTACTAATCTGAACTTCAATTTTGTTAATGTTTCATATTCTTCATGTGTCTAAATATAAATTGTGATCAGTGGATTGTAGCAACAAGTGGTGGTCTTAAAAAATAATAATTCCTTACAATCGTTCAATTAATAATATAAGTGGAACTAGATACATCCTGGAATCGATCCTGAAACCTGTGATAAAATAGGTTGCAAGATAGGTTTTAGGTTCTAAAAAATGATGAACTTATTCTAATAGATAGGTTCTATGACGTGGAACCTGGACGAAACGTGAAAATGCTCACCGGTATGCTACCAGAAGACAGGAGAAGGGAGAGAGATATCGATCGACGAAGCAAAGCAACTATAGGTTGCTCAGACGCGGGAAGTTTCCAGGAAGATGAGTACCAGGAGCACTTGACTTTATGGTCTTCGTCGTGATTTATTACGACTTTCTGCTTTAACGATTTTCTCATCGACCCATGGCATTTGATTGGTTTCCTGTTACTGGTCCGTCAATGATTGACAGAGAGAGGTCCCAACACAACCTTACTGATAGCAACTCCTGCAGTCATTAAGTTCTTAAATCACCTCAGCATCACTAGCTAAATTCATACATTTTTTTTCTTCTGGACAACGTGAGACAATCCAACCTTTACTTGGACTAATTAATCCATACGGATGTGTGTAAGAGCTTCTTTCGCACGTATCAGGTAGTCTCCACCAGACGACGAAGACCGTGGCCGTACAGATTGGTCTTAATGTGAGAATACTGTAATTTTAACACATACTTTGGGAATAAAAACAGCATAAGTACCATAACTTTCGTACGGTGCTCACTTGAGTGTCATAATTTTTTTTTCACTTACTTAAATGACACATCGGAGTAAAATCAATCATTTGAGACGTTGATTTTTTGAATTTTTTTTAAAATGATTTTTTATTTTTTATTTTTTATTTTCCTTTTTTTTCTTTGTTTTTTTTTTTTTGTTTGTTGGCTGTAAAGGCCTCGCCCTCGGTCGGCGGGGCCACGAAGGTCCTGGGTGAGGCCATCGCCGACTGTGGGCAAGGGCCTTCACGGCAAGGCCACCTCGCCCGTAGTCGCTACCATGCTCGCGGCCGACAGGGTCGTGAAGGGCCTCCCCCAGATCTGGCGAGGGCCTTCACCCACTCACCGAGGCTCCGATGGCCTTGCTCAGGGCCATTGTGACCTCGTCGGCCGTGGGTGAGGGCGTGAAGACCCTCGTCAGATCTGGGCAAGGCCGGTGGCGAATTTTCCGGCGAGGCAAATTATCGACGGAACTTAAGTAATTGATTTTTTAAATTTGTGACAGTTAAGTGATCAATTTTTCAAATTTGTGGCACTTAAGTGAGTGAAAAAACTTGTAAAAATTGTCCACGTCGTGCCACGTAGAACGATCGGCATTCACGTCGGATTTTCCAGCGAGACATATCACCGATGACACTTATATGATCAATTTTTTAAATTTGTGGCACTTAAATGAGTGAAAAAAAAAAGTTATGGCCCTTAAATGAGCGCCGTACGAAAGTTATTGCACTCGTACTGTTCTTATCCCATACTTTGTTGCATTCACTTAAGTAATCATTATTTGAAGATTCAAATTTATATTTATGTTGTTTAAAAGAAATTCGACGGACATTTATGGTCATAAAGTAATATGAAAACATGTATTGTAGGAAGAAAATGGTAGTAGGCGAGCATTATGTTGGGAGAACAATGACAACCCAAATAGCATCGGATTAACGCAGCGGAACAAAATAATTCCCCCTCTTGTGCAAACCTAATATGAAACAATTGAATAGAGCAATATAAATACTAAACATCTACAAACACAAAGAAATTTTTTTACGCACTATTTTCATTGCAAATATGGAAATTAACATCTCGGCACCACTCGTGAATTAAAGAATATTAATGGTTTTTATATAATTTCTTTAAATATACGTATTGACGTAGCCACATTCTACTCACAAAACATTCGGTCAATGGCAAAGGCTTGATTACTTTTTACATGCTTTCAGCACTAATATTATATTATCACAAGGGCTGGCAATTCTATTCATGCGTCTTAATCGGGTTTCGTAATCGTGTTAAGTCGTGTAACTGAAAAACACTATATTTTTGCTTATTAAGCTAAAAAATTTACATACATTAAATTCGCGTTAATTTATGTCACTTTCAAGTTTGCCACATAATTATGTACAAACGTGTTCATTCGTGTCAGAAATTGCCAGCTCTCTATCACCAATGATCAAAAACAGGTTTAAGTGTATGTATTATATGTTCTAATATTGGTAACACATATCTCAACGGTAATTTGAATAACGAGTTAGTTTAACAATTTTTTTGGTTACTTATTTTTTTCAGTTTTAATCCTTATTTTTGAACCACTGGGCAGTGATAGGGTTGAGGGAGATAATTGGTGGTCCATTAAGTACTATCAACCAGGAGACCACTGTGAAGCCTGGAGGGCCAAATAGCAACTTCAGCACCAATGAGTTGGAGAGACTCAGCTACAAACGAGTTAAAGGTACTAACTTTCATCAAAAGCGTACATGACATCCCTCGAACTAGTCCATTTAGCCTTCCCACGGTTGCGCTTCTTTTGAGCAACCTTCTCATGGGCAACTTGGACGGCGTTGATGACATCGGAGTTGGGAGCCACTGCCACAAGAACGTCGTTCTAATGTTACTTGTCACGGGTTAATATTTTAGATCATGAACCGTACGGCACTTAGACCTTGAACTGAATTGCTTGACCTAAGTAAGCCTTATTATTGCTCTCACTCTCACTCTCCACTCAAGGAAAGACGTGTTGTAGCATGATAATACAGGCTTCAGCAAATAACAATTTACATAGTGAAAAAACGTTACTCAATAACCAATTAAACATCAGTAAAATCATGACAATATTTTTTAAATTACTAGCTAAGCTTGTGGAGTTTGCAACATACTAATTATTTTGCACGTTGTTAACTTAGTAATTGATAAAAAAAAATTTGTTAAATCATCTATAGTATTGGTAATCTACTAACCAAACTTGTAAAATGCCATAGAAATTAGAACTTTCTAATTAAATGGAAATTTGATAAATTTCTAGTAGGTTCCCATATTATTAAAATTTCAAAGAAGTTGGTAATTTTAATTTATTGAGATGTGAGTAAATTTTTTGTAGTCTGGTACTTTACTAACAACACTTGAACAATCTAAAAAGAATTGATAGCTTATAACTCACAATAATAGTATTAGAAATTTGCTAACGTGAGAAATTTATCAACAGTAGGAAATTTTTCAGATTTTTTCTTGACAGGACCCCAAAACTCGTCTGGAAAGGTGGGCAACTTTGGCCTTTTCCTGTCTTCGTACTGTCGGCCACATCTTTGGTTATGAAAGTCTGAATTCCTAAACTTCCGCGCGTGTCATTGCCATGCCATAACCACCGTTCTTTCGACCCATTTGCATGTGGGGCCTGCAACTGGATGCACGACAGTCGACATAAATGAGATAAGATGAGTAGATGGGAGTGGTGAAGAGGGTAGAGAGAGAATAACGTGTTAACTCGTTCGCAACCATTTTCTCCTAGACCTATTAGCATTTGATTGGTTTTCCTATAACTACTCCACTATTTCCTCATAACGCGTCTTTTTCTCTGTGGAGAACATCGGGCCAGAGAGAGGAAGACCTGCTGAACTGAGCAAACTACTGCAATGGCAAGCTCCCATGAAGGAACGCTATCGGGAAGCAAGTACCCAGTGTTTCTGAGCTTCAGAGGACCCGATACTCGCGAGGGATTCACCGACGTCCTCTTCCATAACTTGACCGATGCTGGAATCTGTGTCTTTCGAGATGACGAGGAGCTTCGTGTAGGTGAAAGGATTGATGGATCGCTACAGCAAGCGATCGACAATTCCAAGATCTATATGCCCGTCTTCTCTCAAAATTATGCTTCGAGTCAATGGTGCCTTAGCGAGCTCACGCGGATCTTGGCAAACACCTCCAAATCGGACGATAATAAAGAGATCCTACCGATTTTTTTCGATGTGAAACCTGACGATGTTAAGTTGAAAAATGCATTGTATAGTGATGCCATCCTAAGTTTGCAGCACGAAAGGGAGTTGAGCAATGAGCAAGTGGATGCATGGAGAAAGGCTCTCAAGGAGGTTGGTGCGATAAAGGGGTGGGAAGTGAAGAAGTACAACGGGTAAGCTAGCTGCTTTAAAATTGCTTGTTTCCCCCATGTTATTAACACTTGATCATAGACGTAAAAATTCCGACATGATTGAGACCTGGCTCCTATTACAGTTATACTAAATGATAATGGGCAAACGATTTTATTAATAGCTACAATTGTAAAAAAAAAAAATGTGAAACTGCTTCACAAGGTCGTCTTATGATGGGTGAATGATGATATTAATAGCTAGGTAGCTAAATTAATATTAGATTGTGGGCAGTGGGAGGAAAAAGAATAGGATAATGAAATGCTATGTTTTTTTTTTCTAATCATTTAATCTTTCAATACGTTAAACATTTCTCCTCTTGAATACACCGTATCCAGTGCTTGAATTGCATCACTTCTAGTTAGTTAATCATGAGTTTGCATTTTTCCCCCACTAAAACGTTTTTCTATTTTGACAGTCATGGCAAACTAATCAAATTAGTAGTCGAGGAGGTCGTGGAAAAGCTGAAGACAAAACATAGATTAGTGACTAAACATTTAGTTGGAATTGATGATCGAGTGGTAGCAGTAAGTAAATTGTTTGACATCGACTCTGGCGATGTGCGGCTCATTCAAATTCATGGCATGGGGGGTATTGGTAAAACGACTCTCGCAGGGGTTGTCTTCAATCAATTCTCTTCTCATTTTGGAAAGTATTGTTGTTTTCTTGAAGATGTTCGAGCGAAGTCATCAAGTATTGGCTTAGTTGAGTTGCAGAAAAAGTTATTGACCGAAATTGGCGTTAGTGCAGGAACAAGGAGTATTGACGAAATTGATTTTGGAATGAAAAGGATTGGAGAAGTACTTCACAATAAGAAAGTACTTATTGTACTTGATGATGTTGATAACAGTGAACAAGTGAAGAAATTATTTGGAAATGGTGCTTTGTATCCAGGATCAAGAATATTGATTACAACTAGAGATAAAGATGTTCTGCAAAGCTATAGATTAGAGTGTCAAATTTTAGAGTATGAAATGGAGGTGATGAGTATTGATCACGCTCTTCAGTTTTTCAGCAAGCATGCATTTGATAGAAACTCTCCTCCAAAAGATTACAATGATCTCTCCAAGGAAATTGTAATTACTACGGGGACACTTCCATTGGCTCTTGAAGTAATTGGTTCACTCCTCTATCAAAAACCACAAGACGAATGGGTAAAGACGTTGGAGGAGTTGAGGAAAGCACCTCACACAAATGTTTATAAAAAGTTGAAGATCAGCTATGATGCCTTAAGTTTCGAGCAACAACAAATTTTCCTCGATATTGCTTCCTTTTTCATTCATGAGGATAAGACGAATGCAATTTACATGTGGGAAGAATGTGGGCTTCTCCGAAAGGATGGGGTTGATGTCCTCAACAATAGGTGTTTGATAAAAATTGCAGAGAATAATACGTTTCGAATGCACGATCAACTTAGAGTTCTTGGAAGAGAAATTATTCGTGAAGAAGATCGAATGAATCCCGGAAATCGTAGCAGGTTATGCATCCACAATGAGGTCCTTGGTGCAATAGGAACAATGGAGGTAAAGTACCTCGGAGGAAACTAACAGTTTCTCTACTAGAAAATCCTCTATGCTGCACTAGGATGCTCTTTATTCGTTCTTCTTTTTCCCATTTTAATCTTTTTCCTCTGAAAAAGAATACTGAATGCCACCGTTCCTTACTATCATTTCCAGATGAAGAAGAACGTTCAAGCACTGGATCTTGATCTACGCAAAAGTAATCTTAAGGACATAACAAGTGAAGAGATTGGAAGGTTTGAGGATCTAAGATGCCTCAAATTAAAAGGGGGAACCTTTGTTGGTGACTTAACAAATTGTCTTACTAATCTAAGATGGATTTTTTGGAGTGATCCTCCTCGAACGTCTAAGCCAACCAATTTGCACTTAAAGAATGTGGTTGTTCTTGTACTTTCACACAATGACTTCATAGATGATTCAAAACTACAGAGTTTAATAAAGGTGCATAATATGTATATTTCTATTCTATTTTTTTTTCAAAGTAATATTTGAATGTTGATTCATTGAATATTGCAATCATTTTGACAGATGGCACAACATTTGAAAGTTCTTTCTCTCGAAAGCTGTCATAATATAACCAGAACACCAAACTTTTCTGGATGGCCAAACTTAGAGAGGCTTACTTTCGATGGTTGTTCTAGATTGAGGAAAATTGATGGCTCTATTGGGAAGTTGAGGCGTTTGATTGACCTAAAGATTCATAGTTGTTGTTCTCTTGAAGGTTTGCCCGAAGAAATCGGGGACCTAGAGAATCTAAAGCACTTCTTTGCACAAAGGTGTGAAATGAAGAAACTTCCAGAATCCGTATGGAAGTTGAAATCATTACGTGAGGTGTACTTTTCACACCACTTTGACAGATTAGATTCAACATATTCATGGGAGCTACCTAGTGCTATTGGAATGCTTCAAAAACTGGAAGTGCTTGTTAGAAATTAAACCAAATTTGTTAGTACTTGTTTCCTTTTTGAGTCTGTTCGTATTTCCATATTTTGATAGATATTGTGAGATATTGTTTCTAGTTATATTTTAGGAAAGTTTCCTAAGTCAATTAGATTTCCTAATTAGAATAGGTTTCCTAGAAAGATGTTTCCTATTTCGAATCAAACTATGGTTTATATATAGTCTATTTCTCTTGTAATTGAGACATGCAATAGAAAGACGCGAATTGCGATTGTTTCACCTTAAAAATTCCTTTCATCAAATCAATATTGTTGCCGCGCCTCGACGCTCAACAAATTGGTATCGAGCTTACGGTTCGTGATCATGGCCTCAACGAACAATCGGCTTCCCCTTCAATACCCTCGTCTTACCAAAAAAAATTATGGTAATTGGGCTGTTAGAATGAAAGCTCTACTCGGCGCCTACGGTGTGCAGGAATTTGTTAACACTGGCTATGATGAGCCGGAGGATGAAGCCACGTTGAACCGGAATCGAGGAATGCCTTGGAGAAGGCTCGAACGAAAGATCAATATGCCCTGTCGATCATCTATCAAGCGTTAGATGATTTCATGTTCGAAAAAGTTTCGAACGCCACTACCGCTAAAGAGGCATGGGAGATTCTTCAAAACACATATCAAGGAGTTCGAAAGTTCGGAAGATTCGCCTTCAAACCTTGAGAGGCGGGTCGAGGTAATTCGTATGAAAGAATCGAATCGATTGCTGATTATTTCACGAAAATTTTGGCAATTGTTAATCGGATGAAAAGAAACGGAGAAGAAGTTTCCGATGTTCGTGTTGTTGAGAAAATACTTCGGTCCTTAGACAAGAAGTATGATTATATTGCGGTTGCAATCGAAGAATCCAAAGACTTGGATGCCATGACGGTCGATGAACTTATAGGTTCATTACAAGCCCATGAAGAAAGGTTTAGAAAGAAAAGATTGAACCGGTGGAGGAAGTTCTCCAAACGCAGTTAATCATACGAGATGAGAATGAGCAAAGAAGAGATCCGTACAAAATCGCGGGACAAATCAAGATCGTGATCGAGGTCGTGGCCGAGGTCACTTTCGAGGAAGAGGTCGCGGATGAAGCGAGAGGAGATCTGCTCAAGTGATGGAGGATACCAAGTACCAAAGAGGTGTTCGTGGAAGAGGAAAGAACTCGACAAGCCAATGGTATGATAAATCTAAAATCTGATGTTATCATTGTAATAAACTTGGCCATTATGCTTCTAAGCTATTGGAATAAAGAAAGTAGCGGACAGGACGAAAAGCGAACTTGGTAAATAATGATGATCAAGTTCTCTTATTGGCATTCAAAGAAGATGAAGAAGGTCAAAGCGATACGTGGTATTTGGATACCGGCGCAAGTAATCACATGTGTGGGAGAAAGGAGATGTTTGTTGAGTTAGATGAGACAATTAAAGGGAATGTCTCATTCGGTGATAACTCTAAAATTCTTGTTGAAGGGAAAGGTACAATTTTGATTCGCTTAAAGAATGGTGCACGTCGGTTTATTACTAATGTTTATTATGTTCCAAAATGTCAAGCAATATCTTGAGTTTGGGACAACTACGGAGAAAGGTTATACTGTTCATATGAGAGATCTTAATCTTATGTTGAGAGATCGGAATAATAAATTGATTGCAATGTGAAGATATCGAAGAACAGGATGTTCATTCTTAATATAAAGAGTGAGATGTCTCGATGTCTAAAGACGTGCGTAGATGATCCTTCATGATTGTGGCATTTGAGGTTTGGCCATCTCAATTTTGGCGGACTCAATTTGCTTTCTCGCAAGAAGATGGTTTATGGTTACCACATATTGATCATCCCGATCAATTATGTGAAGGGTGTGTTATCGGCAAGCATTCCGAACTAGCTTTCCGAAGGAGGCGACTTATCGAGCAAAGAAGCCGCTTGAGTTGATTCATTCGATTTGTGTGGCCCGATCAATCCTCACTCATATGGTAATCATCGATATTTTGTTACTTTTATTGATGATTTTACTCGGAAAACTTGGGTGTATTTTTTGAAAGAAAAGACATAAGTGTTTGATATTTTCAAACAATTCAAGAACCTGGCTGAAAAGGAAAGCGGCTATTTTATCAAGGTTTTAAGGATCGATCGTGGTGGAGAATTCACCTCAGCCATATTCAACAAATTCTGTGAAAATCATGGTATTCGGGCGTTTCTTGACGGCCCCGTATTCTCCTCAACAAAATGGTGTGGCTGAACGGAAAAATAGAACCATTCTTGATATGGTTGAAGCATGTTGAAGAGCAAAAATTTGTCCAAGGAACTTTGGGCGGAAGTTTCGTGTGCCGTCTATCTTCAAAATAGATGTCCAACATATGGACTTGAAGGCGTAACTCCACAAGAGGCATGGACCGGGAGAACACCAAGTGTTTCGCACTTGAGAATTTTTGGGAGCATTGCATATGCTCATGTCCCGGATCAAAAAGATCGAAACTTGAAGACAAGAGCAAAAAGCTCATCTTTATCGGGTATGACTCATCATCCAAAGCCTATCGATTATTTGACCCTAACACTTTGAAAGTGTATGTAAGTAGAGATGTCAAGTTCGATGAAGATGGAATGTGGGAAGAAAATCTAAAAGAAGAAGCGAATGTTCGTGATGATTCCGATCAAACGGAGTTGAAAGATCAACCTTCACCTTCTTCTCCAACATCTTATTCAAGTTCATCAACACCATCCTCTTCAAATAGTATCGATGAACCGCTAGTGCCAAGATCAAGAAGATTGTCTGAAATTTACGAAGCTACCGAAGAGCTTCATCTTATACGTCTTCTTGCAGATTATGAACCACTTGCTTATGATGATGCGGCCAAAGAAGAAAAGTGGAGGAAAGCCATGAACGAAGAAATTGAAGCCATCGAGAAAAATCAAACATGGAGCTTGCTAATCTTCCGAAGGACAAGAAATCAATTGGTGTTAAATGGATGTACAAGGCCAAGAAGAATGAGAAAGGTGAAGTAACAAGGTTCAAAGCTAAATTAGTCGCGAAGGGGTACAAGCAAAAGCCGGAATCGACTATGATGAAGTTTTTGCCCCTGTCATCCGCATGGAAACGATTAGATTGATTATTTCCATTGCTGCTCAAAATAATTGGTGGATTTATCAAATGGATGTCAAATCAGCATTCTTGAATGGTATCCTTGAATAAGAAATTTATGTCGAACAACCCGAGGGGTTTGTTGTGAAAGGTTATGAAGACAAAGTGCTAAGGTTGAAGAAAGCTCTATATGGGCTTAAACAAGCACCGAGAGCATGGAATTCCAGAATTGATGCATATTTCAAGGCGAATGGATTCTCTCAATGTCCATACGAGCATGCACTCTATTTGAAGCAAGAAAAAGGATATGCAGAAAATATCCTTGAAAAATTCAACATGAAGAACTGTATGCCGGTCAATACACCAATGGAGTGTGGAACCAAGCTTTAAGTTTGATGATGGTGCCGATGTTGATTCGACATATTATAGAAGCTTGATTGGAAGTTTGAGATACTTGACATGCACGAGGCTGGATATTATGTATAGTGTTGGAATTGTTAGTCGATACATGGAGAAGCCGAAATCATCTCATCTTAAAGCTGCAAAGAGAATACTTCGGTACATCAAATGTACTATTTCTCATGGTTTACACTATTATTGCTCTGAATCTTTCAAACTTAGAGCTTATTCGGATAGTGATTATGGTGGAGATATCGACGATCGAAAAAGCACCACGGGATTTGTATTTTTCTTGTGCGACACTGCTTTCACGTGGTCATCAAAGAAGCAATCAAGTGTTACTCGTCGACATGTGAAGCTGAATATGTAGCTGCATCTTCATGCGTTTGTCATGCAATATGGTTGAGAAGACTGCTCAAAGATATTCTTATGGAGCGAGAAGAAAGCAACGGAGATTTTTGTTGATAATGTTTCTGTTATTGCTTTGGCGAAAAATCCAGTTTTTCATGAACGAAGTAAACATATCGATGTTCGATATCACTTCATCCGAGAACAAGGTTAAAGAGAATGAAGTTGAAGTATTGCATGTGAAGACCGGAGATCAAGTAGCAGATATTTTTACTAAACCTCTCAAGATCGATGCTTTTCGAAAGTTCAAGAGCCTACTTGGAATGATCGATGGAAGAGAATTTGGTTTAGGGAGTGTTAGAAATTAAACCAAATTTGTTAGTACTTGTTTCCTTTTTGAGTCTGTTCGTATTTCCATATTTTGATAGATATTGTGAGATATTATTTCTAGTTATATTTTAGGAAAGTTTCCTAAGTCAATTAGATTCCTAATTAGAATAGGTTTCCTAGAAAGATGTTTCCTATTTCGAATCAAACTATGGTCTATATATAGTCTATTTCTCTTGTAATTGAGACATGCAATAGAAAGACGCGAATTGCGATTATTTCACCTTCAAAAATTCCTTTCATCAAATCAATATTATTGCCGCGCTCCGACGCTCAACAATGCTTCTAGTCAATTGTCCCGAATTAAAAGGTCAAATTCCTTCTGCAATCGGAAGTTTGTCCTTTCTAAGAATCCTAAATCTATCACATACTCATGTTAGTGAAATTCCAAAGACTGTTAGCATGCTTTCATGCCTGCAAAGATTGGAGTTGATGGATTGTCAGGAGATTCAAGAGTTGCCGGCGCTCCCAAAAAGTCTAACCCATCTACGTGTGTCGTCTAAATCATTGCGGGTAGTCCCGGATCTCTCGAACTTGATTAATTTGGTTGAGTTGGATCTAAATTACAGTGGAGAAGGAGGAGATAAACTTTGTACCGGTGAGCTACGGTGGATTGGGAGGTTATCCAAACTGACAAAATTGAGCTTAAGACTTCAGAATGTCCCTGCTCCTGCTGAGTTAGCTTCCCTTCCTCTGCTTGACCAACTTGATATGTTTGGAATGGACATGCAAACCTGTCCCCAACTTCCTTTGTCTCTGCAAAAGCTAGGCCTCGATAATTTTAATCCTATTGTGTCAATCTTTCCGAACCTGAGAAATTTGTCATGTTTCGAGCTTTGTAGGTCTCCAATGCAAGAATTTCAACTCGAAGGGCTTCAACTTCCGCATCTAAGACAGTTGATCGTGCAACTCTGTGTGTCCCTCCGGAGATTGACGCTATCAAGCATGAGGAAGTTGAAAGATGTAGTGGTGGGAAGAAGTCCAAAGCTAGTTGAGATCCAATTTTCTGGGTTTTTCGAGTCACTGGAGGATTTGACTATTGAATGGTGCGAGTCCTTTGAAAGGCTAGTTTATGTGGGGGAAGCAAGGCGAGATAATAATGAGTCTGCTAATGAGATGATTACCTGCGAAGGGAGACTAATCCTTCCATTGAGAGCCTTAAATAAGTTGAAAAGCTTCGAAATGCAGGGTTCTGAAAAGATAAGCGAGATCTTAATTGTCGATACAGTGGAATCGTGGGAAGTCTTCAAAGTTTGGAGTTGTCCTTTGCTGCAAAGTCTTCGCGGTTTACCAAACTTAAAGAACCTACGGTCTTTAGTCATCCAATACTGCAAAAGTTTACAAGCTGTCGAGGGCCTCGACGAGTTGGAGTTTTTGCGCCGGTTAATACTTAGCAATTGCCAATTGTTGGAACGGTTGATTGATGTATCAACCACCAAATTGCCAGACTTTTGCCACTTAGAGATCTCCAGTTGCAGGAAATTACGTGAGGTTAAGGGAGGATTCGAGGGCTCCATCCAATCTTTCAAGCATTATAAGGTGAGCTGAACCACTCCCTTTTTGTCTTTTCGGTTTTCTTGACCCAACTATCCAAAAACGTGCTTTTAGGCAGATTTGCAACGGTTGTAGGGAATCGAAAAACAGTCAACGAACATGAATTGAATTTGGTCTCGCTTATTTTGAAACTCAGTTTGACGCAGGTTCGTTTTATTTTTCGCTCATGCTTTCTCATTTTCTTTTATTTTTTCCCTTTTTTTTTTTCCTTTTTTGTATATGAGAAAACTCTATATTTGCAGCAAGTCTAAGGGAGAAGGTCAGTTTTCATCACAAATGATTGGAATAACTGCAATGTCTAGAAGAAAAACAAAATAGCTCATAATCTCTTATTAAAATGTTCTTTTCATTTTATATGGAGCGAATTGTATTGCGTAGGTACTTTTTTAAGTAATATGATCCACTTTATTGTGCATTTCTTCCTTAATACTGTTAATTATGGAGATGAGTGTGGTGATTTGCGATTTCTACCGTGAAGATGGAACATTAAAGGAATCGGATACTGATTGAACAACTCAAAAACATTTTGCAAACAGAGGTGTTTCCAGAACACAGTTTATATGGTCCACCTATCCACTAATCAAGTGACTAATGTCCTGGATGGAATTGAGTGTGACTTGAATTTGCATGTGGTTGGGGTTGGCCAAGTAAGAGGTGTTTTCCAAAAGGACCTCAAATACTTATTTAAGATTTTACAGTTTGATTAAAAGCCACTTCAAACAGGAACAGGAACAAGAGAGTCACTCAAAACAGGAACAGGAACCGCGAAGGCACTTTAAACGAGAACAGGAACAGGAAAGTCGCCCCAAACAGGAACAGGAATTAAAGCCAAGGAGAAGGCTGGGGGGAGTGTCGTTCAAATGCCTGAGCTTCAACAGTTTGAGTCTCGGCTGCTTCCCCTGATGGAAAACAGAAAGGCCCCTCTCTGGAGGAAGCCACAGGACGCACGCCATCAAGTCACAATGAAGTTGGCTAAAAGCAGAGCTAGAGAGCACAGAAACCCTCAAAAATGCATTTGGAGGGTATACTTGCCCATAAAGGTAATTAACCCCAATGGCGTCTAGCAAATCAGAACCAGAAGGTATCACTGTTGGCCCTGAATAAAGGCCACCTTATCTGTGTTGTATAATGTGGCCTATTGTTTTGCCTCCAAGGCGTTCGCTTCTTTAATTAGTCTGTGCTTTTAAGGTCGGGCTTCGGCAGGGCCTAAGACGTCAAAACCAAGCCCCTCCCTCGACCATTGCCTCTTGTTGTTCATTAGGGAGTTATCAATTGTCAGTTTATTAAGGGAAAATCGCAAAAAAAAGTCACAAGCCTATTACAATTATACCAATTGAGTCGCGAACATTTTGCATTTGTACAAATTCAGTCCATCTGGTCAATTTTGGCCGGAAATTGCTGACGTAAATGTCAATCGTCCTACGTGGTCCGGCCAGCACTGACGTAAATAATTTTTAATAATATTTTTTTAATATTTTATTTATTATTTTATTCTTTTCTTTTCTTTTTCCCTTTTTTTGTTTTATTTTCCCTTCCTTGTTCCTCTAGTCGGTCGCCGAACCTTAACGACCAGCCAAAGGTGGACCTCACCGGCCACTAGCAAGGGCAAGCCCTGCCCGCCCCTGGCGAGGCTCGGAAAATTGACAGCTCTATCAAGAAGTTAAATTATCTAATTGACTTGAATATCAGTGGTCGCCATCATCTTGAAGATTTGGCCAATGAAATCAGAGTCCCCGATAAACTTCAGTGCTTGACATTAGGGTGGTGTCATCGAGTGAAGAAACAACCAAATTACATATGGAAGTTGAATTCGTTACGCAAGTTACACTTTTCAACTGAGTACTTCGAATCAACCATACAATGCACAGGAGTTGCCTAGTGCCATGGGAATGCTTGAGAATCTGCAAATGGTTGAAGTCATGACTGGACATTTGAAAGGTCGACTTCCTTCCGGTATCGGAAGTTTGCCCTTTCCAAGAATCTTATGATCGTCGTACATTTACATCAGTGAAGTTCCAGAGACAGTATGCTTACTTGGCTGCAAACGCTGGAGTTAATAGAATGTGATGAGACTCAAGAATTGAGTCTTTGGGTGGATTGGGAGTTTAATCAAACTAAATAAGTTGAGCTTGAAACTAGTTAAGAATACAGAGGAAAAGAGCATTGAAGAATTTTTTTATATATTTCGATATGTGATAATAAAGAATAGATAAACCTATTTATAGGCTTTACATGAAGACTATCTACAGTAACAGAATATTACAATATCAATTACAATCAATCATAAAGGTATCCAAAGTAACTTAAATATCTAAAATATCATAAATAATCTAAAATATCTCTAACATCCCCTCAAATTCGAAGTGACATAAAAAAAAAGTCAACTAGAATTTGGAGAAAAGATCCTGAAAGTGCCTCAGTGACAGTCTATTTCAATTCTGAAGCTATTATAGTTTGACTGTAGGTGCTGTTGTGTCCAAAGACCTTTTGGAATTTGCATAGTAGCTTAGTTTCTGCATTTTACGACCAGTGAGTTCTCTTTTATGCACCCGAAAAAATAATAAGACCATGTTGTACTTGTAGCGAGACGGACCGTCGTGAATCAATACAGATAAGTTGGGCTTTCTAAGAGACCAAACCTCTGCTGCCAAACAAAGAAAAACAATCCCTAATTCCCATGGATACAAAACAAATAGCAATTACTAGGCTTCTGGCAGTAGCAAATTGCATTATATATAAAAACTTTTGTAGTCCTCAAGATCTACAACCAAATCATGTCCTCAACCGCTAGTGGAGAATGAAGAAAAGAAGAAGAGAATGATAAAGATCATCTTGTATTGCCTGAAACAGAGATGGGAATAACAGAGCCAAAAAGAAAATCAATGCCGAAATTCACATTAAGAAACGAAAGAGACCTTAACCCAAATATTACCTCCCATTTTCTTCCATCAAATTTAGGCAAAGTATGTCTACTTGGTAATATTCCCAACTCTCTGATTAGTTAGAATCATGAATTATTGTATCAACAAATTCATAGAATCCGAGACATCACAGCTCGACCGAGGTCCTTAATGAACGCGCCTACAGCCGCATACTCTTCCAATGCCTTCTTGATGACACCATCCCTCAGGAGTTGCGGAAAAAACAGCCAAGATCCGGTCACCATTACGAATGTCACCGTTGTTGGACCCGTCAAAGCCCTCGGCAACCGCCACTTCGTGCCGCACTTCCTTTTCACCACCACCTCGATCACCAAACACGCCCCGTGGAGCACGAAAAAGCACATGACCTCTCAAGTGGGCTTCACACGCCCCATGTAGAAAAACATCAGCTCGTGCATGAGCCCCGACACCAGGAAGGCGGCCATCACAGCTGGCAGCGCCGCCCACTTGCGGCCACCAGCCGCCAACACAGCGTTGTGGACTGGCTCATACACAGTCAATCGCAGGATGCTGGTGACCATGAGGTTCCACCGCTTCCCCCAGAAGTCTTGAAGTGAAGACGAGAGGTACGGCTCACGGAACTGCGGCTCCAGCTCCATTCCGAAGCCTGCTCGAGCTGCGGCTTGTATGGAGGATAAGATCAGATCAAGGGCAAGGTATAGGTGGCAGCAGTAGACTAACAAGATCAGATTTGGATGGATATGGTCGCCATAGTCATATAAACGTAATAGCATCACAAAAAGCAAAGCTTTTGTGGGATAGTTCAGCAGGAAGATAGTTTTAGGTCTAATGTTTTCAGGATTTTGAGGAAGTGGGTTTTCTTTATGATCGCCATTTTGAGTTGAATGTGTGTGATCTTTGTTGTCGCGTGTCCTCGGTGGAGATTCTTTAAGCGAGGTCGTTTGGATCTTGATGGGTAGGCAAGCAATGGCCAAGAAGCGTGGAAGAGAGATGGGAGGATCTGAAGCTAATGGCCCCTTGCCAAAGGCAAAGAGGAGAAGCTTGGAGTTTCCAAGCCATGAAATGATGAAACTAGTTTGGCCTATAAGATTCACAGCAGAGAGATTGAGAGGAAGATAAAGGAAGAGAGCCACAACGGGTAGCATTCCTAAGAGTCTAGTGGTACCTTTTGGGATGATCCTGCCCAATATGTAGCAATAGCACAGAGACATCAAAGCTGTGATGCATACCTTGAAGAAGTTGTACATCTCTCCTTCCATCTTCTCTCTTTCTCTCTCGGTCTTCCCTGTTCCTCAATTTTCTGCTACTCAGTCTTTTCGCTGCACAGCCGAAGGTGATAGAGCTTTGCACGAGTTTGAAAGTCAACATTGACAAGAAAAAGTAAGTTGTGTCTTCCAATAAGCAAGGCGCAGGAAGCTGCTCGCCTGCTTTTAAATATTGTTTCTCATCTGAGCAAGCTAATAACGTGCCTTATTTTTTTGTTCAGGAATCAGAAATGATCGGCATCTTATTCAATTTTATTACCTTGCAGCACTCGTGCTTGGCTTTTCATGCGATGGACTGGCAATTTTCTATGTTAAATCAACGAAACCTAAAGCATGCCATGGGTGGCTGCTTTTATAATATAGCCAAGGATAGAGAGGAGCCAACTAACAATCTTTATCCCTTTGATAGTCCTCGGGAAAAAATAATAACACTAATACTGAAATTTGAGAGCAGGCATGAAAGACTGGTAATTTAAGTGTGTAAAGATCGTTAGGCATTCTGTGCAACAAAAGATTGATCCAAACTCTGAGTCTGAACTAAGATGTTGCAGATCTTGGGCTGCTTTTATAGACGGGCAAGATTCAAGAACAGACTCAATTGAAACAGCCCTTGCACATTGCAGTTGTATGAATATGATAACAGGATTTGAATCATACCTGTAAAACCAGCCAAGGCGTATATATGATAGCAGAAGCAATTCGAAAGAATGGAATTGTCATTATTTTCTCAACATGTAGGCATGGCCATTGGCCATTCCCTCATTTTCCTCTAGAAAAAATGTGGTTTTCAGAATGTACCCTTATTTTTTTTCACTATACCATACTTCTTCCCAATAACATATTTAACGTCTAACATTCTTTTCTTGGATCCTCATATTCTTTCCCTATCACAAACAAATATAAATATCAGAATATTCATTCCCATCCATTCCTTTCTTTCTCCCCATTCCATTCCTTCATCTATTCCGTTTCCACCCTGCATCATTTCATCATACGAGTCATGCAGGTCTTCTCCTTCTCATCACAAACTATCTCCTTTCCGAGAGTTAAAACCTACTTTGGAATCCCAGAACGCAGCAAACAGGCTCCAAACTAACAAATTTGAGCAACTTCATTCATGTGAAGGAAGCAAATACAGTAGCAAAGAGGCCTTTACTTCACCACTTCCTTGCACACTGAATCAGCTAAAAGATACCCAAAAGATATAGACGATGAAAACATACATTGCTCTTGACAACTAGTTCTTATGATCACAATACTCATTAAGACCGAGAGAAACAGAGACTGAGAAAACGCTCAGATGCACCACTTCGAAATTACTCATAAGGAACAGCAGCTTCTTTCTTCAAACCTATTTTCTTCATGCCAATAAAATTTTGAACAAATATCTTCTCTCGAATTGTCTAGATGACCATCCAGGACGAAACTGAAGATAAGTTACACAGCTATGGTAATACATCAGATATATCAACCTGCGAAACAAGCGAGACCAGGGCCATGTTTGATAGAGTTGGACAGCGCTTCATGAAGTCGAATTCCAGTCTTTTCGGATGTCAAAAGTGTAGTTGATCTCGAGGTAACACTTGTTGTCATCATCAACAAACTAGAGATCAAAATAAAAGCAGAAAGGAAATTGGTAAAAACAATAAAACACGGGAATCATTGGTGAGATGATAATTACAGTGATTTTTTCATTAAGTCAAAATAAAAACTCGCACTAATCATCAATGTTGGAGTTAAAAACTGACTAATTTTTCAGTCCTACAGATTGATCTTGGTGACAAATATGAATGCAAGGCTGTTGTCAACCAGTGATTCAGAAAAGGCACGTTTTAAATGTTGAAGGCCAATGCCGTGCCTCTTTTTGCTGACTAGATATCTGAAAGAACAAAGTTGATCTACTTGTTGCACAATTCTTCGAGCTCCAAAACCTATATACATTTAAATTCCCTTCTCCCAGACATGACGTTTGAATTAGAAGAAATGCCTTACAATTATCTATGGATCATGATCTATGAAAATTACATGCAAGGAAACTTAGCAATCACGATACGGGAAGGAGCTGCACAAGTTGACTATTGAAATTTGACATTTGAAATTTGAAATTGCACATAGTAAACTGACAAGCTGTCATCCACACAAGTGAATCATAGGCTCGGAAATCTTCAGATTTTAAAGAAGTCTAAGAGTGTGTGCCAAGATGCTCCATCACTTAAGAATTTAGCACCGATAATCTAAGACTCTCCATCATCTTTTAAACATAACTCATTTACCATTGTGGGTGCATTATATCAAGGCAAAAGTAGAAGTAGCTGAACTAACCTTACTTCTGGCTGAATACGACCCTCTAGCAAAAATGCCAGACGGTGTCGTCTCTTCAGGCATTTCATGCATGTAGGGCTCCTGCTGTGGACTGAAAGTTCCGATCATCTCTTTTGTGCTGTCCACTGCAAAATAAGACAATGCAAGGTGAGAAGAAAACAGAGCTTAATTTACAAACCATGAAATCCAGGGTTGAGAAAAGAGGGGCGTGGCGCTACCTTTAACACCGGTTTTCCATACCGTGTTGCTGTATTTGAGACCAGACACGATGTTGTTGCAGACCTGGAAGGTGAACTTGAGGCTATAACGGCTGCCTTCTTTCAAAGTAAACCACAAGCCTTTGGGTTTTCCATTCTCAGGAATTTGCAGTACTATATCAGGTCTATCAGGAGAAATTATTGCAAGGCTCACGATCTTGACATCTGGCTCCAGTGTTTCTACATTTTGAAGGAATGATGAAAAGAAAATGATCAGTGACAATTGAATTAGGATCGCCATTAGAAGAAAAGAGTTCATAATCAAGTCATCATTCAAGCTGTGGATTGACCAGAAATATGCAGTTCCAAAGCCATCATTCAATTTGCTAAGGACATCAAGAAAACGTTAACAGAACATTCATCTCAATCTTGATCGACCAGAAATATGCAGTTCCAAAGCCATCATTCAATTTGCCAAGGACATCAAGAAAACGTTAACAGAGCATTCATCTCAAACTTGATTTCATTTGCTGAAACAACACTCAGAAAATATAACAATCTCAGTAATGGCGTCGATGGTAAACTGGAACTCAAGGGAAATTTGAGCGTTCACTTAAAAATTGTGACAAGCAGAAAGCTAAAACACAAGACTCTGTACTCCACCATCCAGCGTGGTGAGAAACAGACGCAACTAACAGTGAAGAACCAGAACTGCTCTTCAGATCAGACAGATTCCCCCAACCAAGCTCGCTTTGAAAGCTACTTTAAAAGAGATTCTTCTTTTTCGTTCTTGTTCGTCAGCTCTCACGCACATACTTAGTCCGCTTTCTCAAGCAAAGACAGATCTTTCGCATCAAGACTAAAAGATTCATAAGATAAACTTCCTTATAGACTGAACGCCTTACCTCATACAGGAACCAAATTTTAGACCTCGTCCTTTCTCTAGACACAAATTCTCTGCCATCCTATGAACTTCGTGAGCTTAATTCTAGAGAGATTATAGCTAGTATATTTCCACCTTTTGAAGCATTCACACATACCTAGGGGAATCTTAAAAGGAGACTCCAAAAAAATTACCTTCAAGAACCATTTTAACCTTAACAAAGAAAAACAACTAAGCCTAAGTTTGGTCAGCTGTATGAATCATTTTACGTTGTTGGACTTTTTTTTCCATATAACGTCTCCTATATGATCAAAGTTCGAACATTTGTAAGTTGCAACCCGTAATTCCAGCTGTAAACAAGTTCGAAAATAAAATCTTATTGTACACTATGGCAAACAAAACCAGCTTACAGATCTGCTTACTTTCAAATACATTAACCAAAATTGTACCCATCTATGCACTCCATTGATCAGCAATCTGGGACAAACAATCTTTTGGAACTTATTTTCCCTTTTATATTTAAGAAAATTACAAACTTCATAAGCTAGCTGTTCAGTTCTGTCAAACTTTTGTTGATTATAGATAACCCAATTTTAGTTCATTTTCACATGCCTTTTCCCAGTCAAATCAGGAAATGGTTTGTAAACTTTTTTTTCTTTGGGTGATCAAAAAATTACCTCCAACAGAATCAAAGTCCACGCTTCCAAGAAGCTGTTCCTTCCACCTCCTCAAGCTTTCATCATCCTACATCCCATTCTCAAAACATCAACATCAAAACCCACAAAACTCACACCCCAGCAACTTTCAAGACAGGCCTAAAAGAAATCTTTTTTTTCTCAAACCTTATCCTTTTCAAACTGTTCCTTGAGAGTGACCTGAGGACCCAAGTCAATCTTCTTCGCGTCCTCCTCTTCATCATCCTCGGTGGCGTATATGGAGCTCTCGCTCAAGGTCCTGTGGACCTTCTCTCCTCGCAATTCATCCTCGTTCTCTTCATTCGGAGGTGTCTTCGCCTCCGTAATTCCCTTGGACTTGCTGCTCTTCTCATCAAATCCCATGTTCTTGGAACTCGAAGCCACTCCAACGGCCAAAGACATCAACAGCGCATCCAAAACACAAGACCCACAAAAGAAAAATGTCCAAACGACGCACACAGGGACACAATCACCCCCCCGCACTCGCTCACCAACTCGAGAAGACGAGAAAAGGGTCGGAAGCAATTGAGGAACAACGCAGCGAGAACCCACCAAGATCCTTGCTTTCGAAGAGAAAGACGAAAGAACGCCCCCCCAAGAAAATCAAAAGGAGAAGAAGAAGGAGGAGAAAAGATGGGAAAGAGGGACTTGGGTCAAAGAATCCAAGAAAGGCAAATGCAGACCAATTAAAGAGAACCCAAGAGCACAGACCCGGAGGAGAGAGAGGCGGGGGACGGAACGGAGGGACGAGAGGGGAGCGAGAGAGGAGGGGTTGCTGTTTAGGGAAGTTCCAAGAAGGAAATGGTCATGTGGTGGTGGTGATGCGGAATTGCGAGTGAATGAGCTCGCAAACAGAGAGAGACAGAGAGATCGTGAGGGTCACTCAGTCAGGCCAAGAATGGAGGAGGGAGGGAGAGACGGGAGGGGTTGATTCCAACAGGGACGACGACACGCGCACATCCACGCACGAACCAACCCCCCCAGCGGGTTTCGCCTTGGATTTCGGTCATCATTTTGGTTTTTTCCCCCTCCCCTTTGACCTCTTCCTCCTCTCCTTTTTCTTTTTTCTCCTTTTTTCCTTTTTCTGTTTTTTGGTATTTTTCCTTCTGTTTTCCCCTACCTCAGCTGATTTTTCTTTCCCTTTTTGCCTTTTTCCCTTTTTTATATTCCCGACGTGGCTGAAATGGCTTTTTTTACCTTTTGAATTAATATTACGAAAAATCTCAAACCGGTACACTTCTGATGAATTTGCCTCCGAGCTTATTATTTGATCACCAAAAATCTCAAATCGGTACACATGTGACAAATTTACCATCCGTTAGTTTCCGTTAAATTTTACTGACAAATTACTAAGTTTAATGACACGTGACCATTGGCGGGTGTACCGATTTGGGATTTACCTTTCATTTGTCACAAGTGTACTAGTTTATAATTTTTCGTGGTATTAATTCAATTTAACGGAAACTAACAGAAGGTAAATATGTCACAGACATACTAGTATGGGATTTTTAGTGGTAAAAAATTTAATTTTTGGTAAATTTATCACAAGTGTACCAATTTTGTGTTTTTTGTGGTATTAACCCTTTTCTTTTTTGAATTTTCAATATGGTGGAAATGACTTTTTTACCTTTTTTGCAGTTCTCGCAAATTTAGTATATTTAAATCTGTTCGGAAGACATATTAACCACATGATCTGCTTGAATAAGCAGCATATCTATGCCATTAAGAAACTTTTAATTTTTAGAAAAATAAGCATAAAGAAATAAGTATGTCACGCGTTTTTCAATATGAGAAAATAATTAAAATTATCAATTCTAGCAATTTTATTATGGAAAGTAATTGTCTTTTTATATTTCCGATATGGCTGAAATGACTTTTTTTTACCTTTTTGCAGTTCTCGCAAATTTAGTATATTTAAATCTGTCCAAAAGACACATTAACCACATGATTTGCTTGTATAAGCAGATTATGTATGTCATTAAGAAACTTGAAAAATAAGCATAAAGAAATAAGTATGTCCAGCGTTTTTGAATATGAGAGAGTAATTAAAATTAGCAATTTTATTATGGAAAGAAATCGTCTTTTTATACGATATTCCCATCATTGTTATTAACTTTTCATATTGAAGAAAAGAATCACGGATCTATAATGCTAGCGAATTTTTCTATCTTATCAACAAGTAGCTTATCTATGTCATTAAGAACCTCACATTTCCCCCTTTTTTTTTTTACTTTTTTGTTATGAGAAAGTTAATTTAAATTATCAAGTATAGTAATTTCATAATGAAAAATAAGCATCTAATTAATAATCTTTTTCGGTGCTCTTAACTTTCATATCGAAAAAAGAAGCATTTATCTATGATACTAGTAACTTTTGTATGTTATTGGTAATTACCCATAAAAAGTATCTTCCAATTTGAATTTACCAAGAATTAGTAATTTCTTCATGTAGGGATAATACATCAAATGATTATAATAGGTGACTTTCATTGCGGTCAATGAATTTTCATATTGAAAATTATGAACCTATCAATATAATCAATAACTAGTAATTTTTCATGCAATTGATAACTTTTTATCGGGACAAATAACTTCCGTACTATCAATATAATCCGTACATTAGTCGACGAGTAATTACTTTTAAAAAAATAAGTACATAAATATCAATAGGTAATTATTTTTACACCTGATTTGTAATTTCCCGTCAGGCACAGAAACTTTCTTTCTTTCAATAATTATTTCTCCAATTTTAAAAAATTCATTTTGAACAAACCGTTAACTAGCAACACATCGACCTAGCTAGTAACTTGTCGTATAAAACCACAAAAATTTATACGTTGTCGGTAACTTATCCATGTGATTATAATAACTTCCGACAAATTTATAAACAATAAATTTCGCACAAATTATTTTCAACCCTCCCCGCCCGTTTAATTATTAACAATTTCGCCCACCGATTTTCACGATATTGCATGAACGCCCAATCTCACAAGACGAATAGTCAACTGCTCTCGGCTTGTGCTGACTTTTTGTTCACAAGACAAACATTTGTCCTGCCACATTCCTTGGAGCTATCTTGTCACATTCTACACCATTTTGGTCACATCGTGGGTTTTGGTGGGACTCTTTTGTTCAATGCGCAAAGCCAGCTCCTCCTACGCATGTTTCTCGCGAAATCATGAGCACGGGAGTGCTTTGTAATTACCAAAGTTTCAATGAAATGGGGCCATTCCAAGCAGCATAAAATAGCCATCTTGTTGATAAAATACGAGGACTTTATCTTCGGATTCACAATAAAAAAAAGGATAAGAATATGAGAAACTCGTTCAGACAAGTAGCGTGGGAAGTGGGATGTATCAAGTTGTCAATGGAATGATTGGTTTACATGCTTGTTGCCATTTTTATTTTATGGTTCGGGAGCACGACCCTAATTTGCTGGCTATCTTAAGAAAATTAGTACCGCAACCCACCGCCGTCCTTGCCCCCATTAGAATCTAAGTTGGGATATGACATAAATGGTCATTGAACTTTGATCCAATGTGCAATGTAGTGTGGGAAGTGGGATGTATCAAGTTGTCAATGGAATGATTGGTTTACATGCTTGTTGCCATTTTTATTTTATGGTTCGGGAGCATGACCCTAATTTGCTGGCTATCTTAAGAGAATTAGTACTGTAACCCACCGCCGTCCTTGCCCCCCATTAGAATCTAAGTTGGGATATGACATAAATGGTCATTGAATTTTGATCCAATGTGCAATGTAATCCATGAACTTTAGCTTAATATTCAATGTGGTCCCTGAATTTTTAATTTATTCAATGTTGCCCCTAAACTTTTAGTACATATTTAATGTAGTCATTAAACATTTTCATATATCTAGGGACTAAACTGAACATGTACCAAAAGTTCAAATACTACATTGAGCAAATTAAAAATTCAAGGACCACAATACACATTGGGTTAAAGTTCAGAGACTATATTGAAACATCTTAAAAATTCAGGGACCACATTGCACATTGAGTCGAAATTCAAGATCCAATAGTGTCGTTTTTCCATGTAAGTTCTTTGGGGCAAGAATTGAGCCCACAACCATCGGTTCTGGAGTTGAAAGCATGAGAACGTCCTTATTATTAGATCCGTGAGATTCACACTAAGTTGGGACATTGATCTTCTTGTTTTCATTTTCCGGTTCACATCATCTATGTAAGAATAAGAATCTTCTGGTTTTTTTCCCCCAAGGATAGAGAGTTCAGTCTCTTACCAGTTTTGTGAACCACATATCCTTTAGCAACTACCATCATCAAGTGCTTACATTTAATCATGGAAGAGTTAGGCCATCTAATCAACTCAAGTCGAGAAAGGATATATATATATATATAGACACACACTCTCTCAATCTCCTACTTCTTTTAATTTATTGCAAAAAAAAAAATCTTTATGTAAAAAAAAATCTTTATGTTCAATTTCTTGAGCCATCAAAATTTATAGTCCCCACAGATAGAGGTTAATGGTTAACCTGTCAAATTAGCCATCAAGAGCCCTTTGTAAAGTCTCATGGTGGTTGTGTGAACCTAAAGTTATTAATTTCGATGGGGAAATAGAGAAAGAGACGAGCTATTACGACGCCTCAGCGCCTGCCGTAGCTCTTGTAATTAAGCCGATGTCAAGCCAAAGCCTCCAATGTTGCACCACCGCTACCCCTCATGCTTGGATTCATGAAAGCGACATCATTTGACATGTTTGATCGCATTGCTAATGTCTCATGTAGGAGAGAGAAAAAAAAATCAAAATGGCCGTGTCGGTTGCTAATGTTCATAAATTTTATGGCTTAGTTGCACGGTACGAAATTCCAAAATCGAATGGTACTTATATATGTTTTAATATTTTTAATGCGCTCATTTCTAATTCTAGTTTTGATATTGAAATGAATTTCCCTTTCCGTTCTCCAGTTGAAAGATTGGAGGACTATATAGTAAGATCCTAGGATGGCAGCTCATCTTCCTTAATTATAACTGGATTTTAATAGAACAACTGCAATAGATGCTTGCTGTCTACATAGGTGCTTTAATCCCATGATTGTTGACCCAACCCAAAGCCTCTGGGGGAGTTGGGAGGGTCCAATAATCAAGGGAAGGTCATCAGTAATCATCACTGATAATCCCAAAATGGAGGAAAAATGATTCTAACGCTGTCTATCACAGGGTAAAAAGAAAATGAGCAATCTCAACTCTCAGATCAGAAGTGTCTTAATTCGTGAATGGTGGAGTAATTTTCTGTTGAATCCAATGTCGACATTCCTAAACTTTCTTGAGTTCTTGAAATTTCAAATTTCGGCACAATGTAGTCCTTCCATTACGTGAATGGACGAAATTTGCTAATGTGAAAATAATGTTTCATTAAGATGTCAATTTATTTTTTGTCCCAACTTTTTGCCCATTAAGAGCTTACTGTAGCAATATTTAAACTTCAATTTGGTAGTAGAATAAGAGAGAACAATGCATACGGTAGTTAGTTTTTCATTATTGTCCCTTGTGCCCCTAAAAAAATTGAGATTTTAGTTCCTTCTGATACAATGGGAAAGGAGAACGAAAAAGAAAGAGAGAGAAAATTGAGAATCTCTCTTATTTTTGCATTGCCTACTGAAATATGAGCTTCAGAAGTAATACAAAAATTGCCGCTAAAGAAAGCAGAGCAAGCAAAACAATGAACCCTGCCCTCTTTGATTCCCTCTTGGGAGATATGTAGGAACTCATCTTCTCTGACATGCTCATCAGAAATCCCAGCATCCTCTGCAAGAAAACAAGGCAAAGCAGCAATCAGAAAAGTGAAAAATAGGACTAAGATATCACATATACATTTGCAAAGAAATATGTCCCATGATAAATTGTAGAATTCATACCAATCTGAAGAGTTCCATGTGAGAAAATGATTCCATGAACATCTCTACATTCCTGAAAAGAAGTTACCAACAATAGTAAAAGCTATAAGAAAAGTATAAATTATATAATAGAAATGAGACAGAGGAATTAATCATTACTTTCTTCCAGCTTCTCACCTTATTACCACCCTTCCTTGGTATATCTGGCATATGTGGAAGCTGAAACCTTTTCCTAGAGGCATAGTTTTCTTGTTCCATTCTGCTTATATGTTCATGAAGCAAGATATGAGCTCCCAAGTCATATTTGATGGCAGGTATCTCAACTGGTAGGACCTAATCGAGGGGATACCTAGCTTCCACGTGATGCCGACGCTCATTCCGTCATGGGTGCTCGATTGCACCACGAACTCGATGTTATTCCCCAAGGTCTTGATAAGATAGGAGAAAAATGCCAGAACTTGCTGCAACAAAAATTGAATAACACGAAGATCTTACGCTAGGGACCCAATCTAGAGATGAATACACCACCAGAACAAATGCCATTTCTAACACACAGATTTTACAATTTAATATAACAGAAACTAGACATGGGCATTAGTTCTTGTAATGAACTGAAGGAGATGATTAAATACAGCCATGAACTTTGAAGTATGTTTATGATCCTCTAAATACCAAGCTTTGGATTTACCTTCTTGCCCTGGAACCCCCGGCAAAACGGGAAGAAATTGCAGATGCATCCGCATTCGTCTCCAAGAATATCTGACAATTCCCGGAGATTTTTGTTCTTTATTGCCGCATAAAGCTTGAGGACGGCTTCAAGAGCCTGGTGATCCTCCTCCTTTCCCAACGACGATGAATTGTTAGCGGCTAATGGCTTTACCAGCAGGTCCTTCTTCCTCCTGAAAATCCATGATTTATACGAAAATCCGGGTCGACGACAACTGGTAATCGAGTTATGGGATGGTGTGAGAGGATCACTATGAATGTGAAGGCCATGGAAATGACTTGGTTGAGGTATACATGGATGGGAGCTTAAAATTAATTTTCTGCAGCACAGTTTGGCAGAGAGAGGGAATATTATTAAACCCATTTTCAGGTGGAAAGAAATTCGTGCAAATGATACTTAAATAGCAAGAGAAACACTGAGGAATCTGCAGAATGGTTGAATATGGAACTGAGGGTGCTTCTATAAGAAAAGAATGAAGCATCATCACTATGCATCAGTGACAAGTTAGGGATCTTCCCTTCTCTGTGCTAAAGCTGCAAAACACTACTTTGCCTTCCAACATTCTGTTGTCATGTAGTTTTTCCTTTAACCTGCATCAAACTACAAACTACAGTTCTGCATCTCTTTTCAACTATAGAACCTCGAAAAATCATCTCTTGAAATCACGAATAAGGTTGGTTTCCAATCCAATAGTGATCGAAACACAGAGCTTGATGATAAGCTGATCAACTGGCATGACGGTCCGGGCCCTTACTACAAAACCTTGCCCAGCATGGAGGGAGATTTGATCATGATGCTAACATGTCGAAGGGGGTCAGAAAAGACATTAAACGAGAGTATCAACTATCGAGCCGACGCAAACAACCTACGCCAAACTATTCGTCTTTGGTGGGTCGATTTGAAAACCAATTCTAGATAATTAAGATGTCGTCGAAAAAAGGCACTTAGGGCGTTTGACGAAATATAAGTATTTGCCGTAGCTCGAAAATTGTCGTCCTGTAGCAACACGTTAATCAAAGAACAAGCTCTGAATATTCAACGTGCTTTGATGTTTCTTGAATAATTGTAACGGGTTACGGCCGAGTGTCCTTCGTATGCTCGTCAACAAGTCCTTTGTCATTTTGACCAAATAAAAAATAAAAAAGACTAGGGGCGAGCATATAGAATCACCCGAATTGGAAACCATCCTGATCGTACCGAACTAGACAGTTCGGTCCAATTCCCTTTTCCAAGTGGGAACCGGATCGCCCAAACCAAACCGGATTGATTTATTTATTTTTAATTTTTTATTTATTAAATAACAGCACAATCCCGCATGTATACACATTCCCGTCACCCGGGACACAGAACCGAGAGCGAGGAGAGAAGAAAACCCATCGCAGAGCCTTCACTAACCCGCTCATGGCCACCGCACAGCCACCGTCCCCCACCTTCCACCATGCATAATCCTCGGCCAACACTCACGCCGCTCCGATGAACATCCGGTCAATCTCTGCTTTGTTGTGTCTCGGAGCCTCGCTAGCTCCACCGCCGCTTTGCCTCCACCAACAAAGCAGCTCGGCAGGTCCAATGGGACCCCGTAGCCTTGTCAACGTGCCCTCCATGACGCAGCTGCGTCCAGCCTTCCTCATCGCCGCTCGCGTCCCGTTCATCGTTGCCCATCATTCTTTGACGTGCAGCCGCGTTTGCCCACCGTTCCTGCCAATGTGCCCATGTCTCCCGGCGTCCACTGGCAGCCGCTACAACCCCGTCGAAGCCTTCATCGCCGCCGTTCTCAATTTTTGCCGAGCCACCCCTGTTTTGCTCTGTTTTTCGGCCTAGAAAGCCCGCCGAACTGCTTCGCTGGTTTCATTGGACCGGTTCGATCTGGTCCCAGGATCAGGCGGTCCGATTCCCGATTCCAAAGAACGGGGAACCGGACCGCTCGAGGAACAGATACACTCCGGAAAAAGACACCCTTGTGATTAAAACAATTATTTTTTCTGGCCCAAAATAATCAATCTTTGGATCGATTGGGGGCTTGGAAGCAAGAAATTTCGGAGCTTAGTTGACCGTGGGCCGGTCCGACCAGAATCGAAAAAACCGACACAGTCGGAGCCCAGATCCGTTGTTGCCTCTCGTACACCCCCACGCTCTCTCCTTCGTCCGTTCTTGCATCCTCGGCGAGTCAAAAAACACAAACCAAGAAGAGAGAGAGAGAGAGGAGAGAGAGAGTCTAGAGAGAGAGAGAGAGATGGCGGAGGATCTGGTGCTGGACACGGCGATCAGGGACTGGGTGCTCATACCGCTGTCGGTGGTGATGGTGCTCATCGGCGTCCTCCGCTACTTCGTCTCCAAGCTCATGCGCTCTGCCCAGCCCCCCGACGCCAAGCTCGTCAAGGAAGGGTCTGCTTCTGTGCCCTCTCTCTCTGTCGATTCCATCGTCGCCCATCGGTTTTTTCCGGTGAATTTGTAGTCCGTAGGAGCTGAGGCTCAATTGGGTCCTTCTGATTTTGGCGGGATTTTTCGTGGGTGCGCGATCTTGTAGGCAGGTGATTGTTAGGGCTCGGAACCTGCGCGCCGCGGCTAATTTGATCCCGCCCAAGTCGTTCCGCGCTCGGAGGTTCTACTACAGCAACGAGGTCTGCGTGACTCTTTCGCCGTATCGATCTCTTAGATTTGTTTAATGACAACTTCATCATGTATGTGCGATTTGTTGTGCCTAAATCGTGCTCGAGGATGTTAAATTGTGCAAATTTAAGCTTTTCTGAGCTCAGCTTGTGCTCGAGTGTTGGGGCTTATAAATTTCTTTTCCTGCGTTACGCATTTTAACCCCTTGCCCTCGGTCATGCTCGGGCTGGTTTTCGTGTTTGATCGATAAAAAACTGATTTTTGAAGATCCTAATTCGCGGTTGGTCTAATGATTGATTGATGAGTTTGTCTCTACGAATGCTGCGCCGTCTAATTTGAGTAGATTTGCATGGTTGATGATATTTGATGGCCTTGAGTTTTTCCGCTGCCACTTGGGTCTCTATTCTTCTTCTTTTAGGTTTTACGAACATTCAAATCGCCCGTAATTGACACACCGTGGAGTGATATTTTCGGTTAGCTGCATTTGACTGATTTAGCTTGTAGCTTATTCCATTTATTTCTTTGGCGGGGCAGGAAAATGGTCTTTTATTTGTGCCGAAGGGCCAGGCTCAGAATGCTCAAGCTCAAATGTTTTCCGATCCGAATATGGCTATGGATATGATGAAGAAGAACCTGTCTATGATCATACCCCAGGTATTGCAAGTTTACTCCTCTGGATTTCTGGTTTGGTTCCTGTTACCAGATGAGTGTCTAATGGTTGCGCCTCTTTTATCCAGACTCTGACTTTTGCATGGGTCAACTTCTTCTTCTCCGGTTTTGTGGCAGGTCCATTCTTTTCCCTTAGCTTTGACTGTAGCAATTACCTCAATGGGATCTACTATCTTTGCTCGTTGTTCTTCATACTGTTCTATGTATATGGATATGTATTTTTTACAGACTGATAGTACTATGCTATAAATGACTGAATCGTTCTTTTTCCAGCCAAAATTCCCTTTCCACTCACTCAAAGGTTTAGGTCAATGTTGCAAAATGGGATTGATCTAAGCACTGTTGATGTTAGCTACGTGAGCAGTCGCTCGTGGTATGTTTATTGTTTTTATCAAATTAAATAATCTGTCTCATCTATCGTGTGTTTTAATAATTTGTTTCTTTCTATCAGGTACTTTCTTAACCTTTTTGGGCTAAGAGGTCTATTTAGTCTCATTTTGGGAGAAGAAAATGGTTAGCATTAGTTCAATGACATTCTTTTTTGGACTATGTTTGGTTCTAATCATAGCCCTATCAAATATGCTGATGTGATGCTTTTGCTGCAGCTACTGATGATACACAGCGTATGATGCAGATGACTGGCTTTGGCTTCGACCCTACCAGGGTAATTGGTCCAAATGCGCTTTCTCGCTTCTTTGTTGGACATTAGTTCTTAGATGTGTGCCACTGCTATACTCTGCCTTTTTCCTCTTCAGTATTATCTACTTGGCAGCGTCCTTGACAGTGAATGTGGTCCTTATGCTGTACATCTTTTGTGTTAAAAATAATTTTCCCAGTCATAAAATTTATCTTCATATCACATGGTTCGCTGACTTTGACAGCAAATCCATCAGCCTCTATAGTGGTTCAGCTAGATTTCTGTTTTCATCCTTTAGTGCTGAGGGGGTGCAAGTTTTGCGTTGACTGGCTTCTGCTTTAGCAATAGCTATCATTGTTTGATGTGCTGATAATAGTTGCTGTCGCTTTTCGATGGTGTTACTTTTCACTCCTCATTCATGGAGTATTTAGCGGGGTATTTGGCCACAATTCACTCCTCATTCATTTCATCTACGATAACTGATGCTTTTTTGGGAAGGAGGGGAGGGGAAGAAAAGTAGGGGGTGGGTATGGAAAATTAAATAACTTTTATAGTTTTTGGAAGGTTAGAAAGGAAATTCAAAAGTTCCATTTTATTGTCTTTCCCCCTTGGCTTCCAATCAAAGCCTAGCTCTCACATCTCATGATTTTGTCATGTCTTTTATGAATATCTGTAAATTTGTTTCCCTTTTGCGCCTGGTCTTCTCTCTTTTGCGGCTAAGTAATCCTTTTTGTTTTTTGTTTTTTTTTTTTTTGGAGGAGAAAATTGAATTTGCATACTTGCTTTTCGGCTGATATAGATATTAGTAGTGTCCACTTCAAGATATAAAGCGTAATTTCCAAAAGGTGTGCGAAACTTTAATGATGGTCATAGTATAGCAAGTGTAATTTTACCTACTTGGAAATGGGACTTTTCCCCTTCTATTAACATGCATGATGAATACTTGCTTATATATGGCCCTTTTCATTGCTGTGTTTCAGAGCCTGGGTGCTGAGAAAGACGGCCTTGACATAGTGCAGCATGACTGGACGATGCCCAAGTTCGAGCGTCGTGCTGAAGCTGTATTGAGGAAGCTTGTCCACTGAGTGATGCCTGCATCTGCAATGTTTTTCTACTTCGTTGGCCGTCATCCCATGTTTGATTTTAGTGAGAATGTTTCGGCCAGCTGCGAAGCCCCAAGGCTTCATTGATGATAGGAAATAGTGGCAACTATCTTTGTAGTTGTCTGTTCTGAGATTATCTGTTCTTTAATATAGGAATATTTTCGCTCTGTGGTCCTAATCTTTTTTGAAATCCCTGTATTCAAATGACGTATGATTAAGGTCTCATCAGTTCTACGGATTAGAGGATAATGGTCATCTTTCTTTTGCAATTTCAGACATAGAAATCAGAAATCTTATGCAGCGCCCATTGATCTCTTCCAAAAGAAGTCATAAGTTGAGTACCATCATAGTAAAATTACGTCCATCTCTCTCTCTTTCTCTCTGCACCATCAAAAAAGGAGCTGATCGCTTTGGATTGGAACTCTAGAGGCGTCTGTGGGAACTGATTAATAAAGCACGAAGACCAACAGGGCCGGCAAAGTCCTTTTCCTGATAACCGAATCTTCGGATGAGCGGCTTTGGTGTACAATTTGGTCTCAGAAGGCCCACAATCACTATGACCAGCTCTCAACGGACACTGGGACGGGAAGTTCGCTCAATCAGAGCGCGAAAGGGAGAGAAGATTCTTGCACAATGCGCGCTTTACTCGCGCTGTTTAGCTAAAGCAAAGTTGCCGCAGACAAAGCAAGTTACCCCGGGCCAGCTTCGGCGTGGCCGGTTTAGAAGTTTGCAATTGATTGATAGCTTTTACACTTCCTTAGGTTGTCCGCTCTTTGCACTCCCCTTTGGAGTTAAAATCAATGGCTCAATAGCGCTTTGTCGTGAAAAATCCATGCCGTGCAGCGTCGTTAGTCAAAAAGTCGAAAACTTCAGTACAAGGATTGCGTTACCCTGCTCGGGGAACCAAACCTGTTTTCACACTTCTCAAATCGCTCAAAGACGGCAGAAAGTAATCCATCGCGGCGGAAAACGTGCTACTGTTAACACGCTCGACTCGTCCGGTTCCAACCCCAGAAACCTGTCAATACGTCCCACCCAAGTCCATGTAATTCGTTTTATTGAGGTCCAATCCTTCTTTTAGGTGATGATTTCTCAATATCTAGAGAAGTTTCTTTCTTTCTCTAGTTTTGGGGGACCATGTAGAGAAGTTCTTTCTTGGGGTCTAGTCTAACGGGGTCGGCTAGTGAATGCAAAGCAAACTTGAAGACATAAATTGGGCAAATGGACAAGCATTTGTATTCAAAAGGGAGTATCTAAGTATGCTATCGACTTTTTGATTCCTGGGAACCATTGAGGCTTACCTGTCACATCAGCTTCCAAATTATTCAATCTTTGTGGGTCCACTCCCAAAAGCTTAAAGTGTTCCTCCCAGCCTAGCAGGCCAAGTTTAACCATGTTCACTTTGATGAATGGGTGTTAAGGAAAAAACATATATAAAAAGCCATTTAGACCAGGTTGTCTGATATTGGGCGCTGGACATGACATCAATGCATCAATTGAAAATCAAGGGTAATGGTTCAAATCATGGCCGTTGGACCCCATTTGGTGGGGCATCCTCCACCGTCCAAAAACTTCAGGCAGCTTTCTTTTCCCACACTTTACAGAGTGACATGTATGATTGTAGGTTTTGGGGTATTTTTTTTTTTTAACTGGCCTAGCTTCAAATGGGTATGGCTCATACTACAGAAGATGGGACATTTATTTTCACCAAAAACAGTTGCATGATATGGACTTAAACTACTAGGGTTGGAGATATAGAAGGATACAATACAAATTCAGCAACTCCAATTGAAAATGCTGCATAAACCAAGATTAAACCTCCATATTAGCAATTTCATAATGCTCCTCCTGATCTACCTATTGCTACCACAACCTATGCATGTAGTACATGCGCATATGCATCGTAATATGTTAATTGTCTTGAATATATAGCATGTTTTTCGACATCGGAAGACATGATTCGATGTGGTAACCCGATTCCCATAATAGAAGAAAAGGAAAAAAAGAATTAACATCGACACCTTCATCCATATTTTGATAACTTTGCCGATCCTTTTTCAATGGATGTGTAGATCAAATAAACTGAATCGATGTTAGATCCACCTATACTTCCACCATCTCTTCGCAAAGTGTTACTGTTAAAAAGACTTATGTTTAACATAGCCAAATGGACTTTATCCTGTCCAGTTTGTGCTGATCTTAGCCAACTCCAAGTTCAGATGTCTTTTCATTTCAACCCATCATCTTTCAAGGCATCGACAAACCCACATCAGATCACCCGCGCACAAACCCTCCTGCACCGCCACACATGCCAAGACATTTTTATAAGGTCTGCTGGGGAATCATTGGAGATCCACAGAGCATATTAAGCAGACTAAATTCAAAGGAATCATTGTACTCGAATCTGTAGCCGACACTAAACAAAAGCGAAAAACGCCATCTATATCCATCATTCATCCATTCCCACCTTGAATCTCTCTGATACCGATGGGTGTGAGGGCATGCAGATGTATTCCTCTCCTCATACTTTTGGTTTTTTGCGCAGGGAAACGAAAGTTGCCTTCGAACGACCCTGTCCTTTCGCGCGGTGGGAGCTTGCGACGGCATGATCGGAGTGGCTGACAGCGATCTTGCGTGGCGGATCAGACGGCTCAGAGGTGGGCCCGGCGCTCACGAGGAGTCGTGCATGGGAACGCATCTGATCTGGTCGGTGGGGCCCCGGCCGGGCTTTCGTCTCTGGGAAGGGCGGTTCACTTGGTCCTCCTTTTCTTTGAGCAGCTCGAGAGTGAATCATGGCAGGGAAAAGGACGGCTAAGAGAGAAAAAAAAGGACGGCTAATGAGGTGAGAGAATAGCAAAAAGCATGCAACATAGTGTAAACCCTAATTTGATTGTAATTTCCACGTAGATTGTGATCCGTTGATCCGGTGAACGATTTCTCAAGAGATCATAGACGTACTTATTTAATTTGTGCCGTATCGCATGATAATATGCGTCTTTTAAAATAAGAATACATGATTAAATAGATATATCATCGATATGTCAGCACAACGATCCAAGATTCAAACTCGTCATTATCTCGTGCCCCCGCCATCGATCTTTGTGCGCGGTACTAGCAATAAGAGCCTTTGGGAAAACAATGCTGTTTAGATTTATTATGCTGATCTGGAATCCACGATCAATGCTTGTATTTTTTTTTCTCCATTTGAATACAATTCTCACAATTTTTAATGGCCGTAGATCTTATTTATTCAAGTAAGTCTTCCAGTATCCTCCGTTTATCATAGGCGAAAAGTTTATGCTCCGAACTCAACCCAACCCTTTTAGCAAATCACAATTGATGACGCGTATCGGGTGTCGTGGGCCCTTCTATGGTGCTTCTTGAATGGTGATCACGATCAATTTATACAAATCTAACTTACATGCACCGTCGGATGAGATGGGATCAAGTACTCGCTTGAGCCGACCTCGCATACTTCGAGGACTCCTATGCTTTGCTCTTGATCAAGATGATGATCAAAGGGGTTAATGCACTCGGTGGGTCCCAACAAATTGGGCGTTGCCTTTTGTTTGGCGCCATCCCAAGCGTCGATCAAATGTTTCTGCACCTGTTCAAGAAAAAGCAATCCCCTTTTAAAAGAAGATTTAGTTAATTTTGACCTCAACAGCCTACCTTAGTCGTTCTTAAACCATTCTAATTTTAATCAAGATTTATAAATTGATTATTGCCTTGCGTAGATAACATCGCGCCTAAGCAGACCACTTAATTTCGGTATCTCGATTAACTGCACAATTTATGCTACGTTAGGCTGCTGATTCGGTTCAAATGGCCATGTTATACATAAATCGAGTTTAATTTTTCTTGCTCCATTCTTGATTAGAGGCCAACTCAGCATGCATTAAAAAATAGGAAAGGAAAAAAAAAATCAAAGTTTTGAAAAAAAATGCTGCAGCTTATTTTAAATGTACCATTTCTTGATTCATTCAAATGACAAGCTCATGTTCTGTACGGTCTAATTTTGTAAATACAATTTAGTGTGATTTCTATAAAAATATTTGCCCCAGAATCTACGGCTTTGCATAGTTGCAAAACTAATGAAGGATTTTTATTCGTTTTCTGACTAAAAGTACAAATCATGTGTTTTAAGAAATCGAGGGAATTTCAGGATGTTAATTTCCAATTTCTTTTAGGGTGTACCAAACTAATCAATATAATATGTTGCAGATTTATTACATATCAGTTCCTATCAGGTGGGGTTTCACTTTCACCTTGATAGGTTTAGGGAGAAAAAGATTAACAACAGATTGATTTTGGTAAGCTAATGGAAATCCTTGAACATGAGAGCATGATGGTCCAGTGTCCTACAAGACCAATGCACAGCAAACAGACAGAAACCCACTAAAGAAAAAAAGGTTGCATGATGCTGATATGAAATTTTGGCCACTACCATTTGGGATTTTTTCCTTTTTTCTAAAGTTTATTATTATAAACTATTATCAAAATAAATAAACCCTTATCAGAAAAATAATACTTTAGGTGAAAAGGGAAAACATTTACAACTAGACATGCTGTAATGTCCATTGATTGGTGTCACTAACATGCTGCATCAATAGGCCAAGATTCTTCATAGCCCTCACGAGCCAGCTCTCACTTTCTCTCACATCAATTTATTAATATGAAATAAGTCATTTGAGGCACTATATATACCCCCTCAGGCTGATCATCTCTTCACTAAGCAGCACAAAACCTGCTCTCATTTGCCCAATATATTCATTCTCTGATACCATCAGCTTTGCTCCCTGCTCATTCCTTTAGCTTGCTTTTCATTCCAGATGGCTTCTGTTGAGGTATACATACACCTATTTGCTTTTAGCTTATGGGGTTTGGCTCATCTTCGATGGTTGAAAATCCAAGCGAAATAAGCGTTGATCTACTCTTTATCGATTTGTTGCTGATGATGATCGATCGGATGCTTGATTCCATCGACCTTTTCGCATTTTCAGCAAATTTTTGGCCCTTCAGTGATTGTTATTTAGTTCCAGTATTATATTCTTCGCATTTGAGTAGCTTGATCGCCCCCATTTGTCCATAGAACAAGTTGTAAAGTCAACATATTTGGCCTCTGATGATCGTTGATGAGCATATATATGATCTTAGCTAAGTGTTCAACAAAATCTATCAAAAAACGTTTTGGGTGATCGATTGTGTTAGGTATATACTCGGCGTACACAATATCGAACTGATCTCTAGATCTCATAAATCAGAACCCATCAAACCGTAGGGATGTTCATGCCATGAGATTTTCAATTAGCTTGTCGTCAGTCTAGCTGGTCAATCATTGAACAAGAAAGAGAGAAACAAAGGAGGGAAAATAAATTAGCTGGCCTCCTATCTTGAATCCTTTTTCTTACATGTTTTATTTGACACTAGAACTACATATCATGCATAAAGAATAGCACAGATCAAAACATCCTAGTGTACTTTGACTGAGATGATACTTAATCTGTTCTTCATTTTCTTTGTCCCTGTTTGTAACAAGTAGATCAAGAGCCTTGGCAATCAAAATGACGGAAAACGTAATACATCCATTAGTTATAGTGCAGTACATATTTGACAGTTTGTAAATGGAAGAATTACGCCATTTAATTACAGTCGTCTACTTCAAAATAGTAAATGTTAAATTTTCAAAGCAAACTTAATAAGGTTTAACAAGTGCCTAAAAGCACTCTTTTACATCTTCCATTATGTTTTTTATCTGTGGAAGTTTAGATTTGGAAATCTAATTGATGATCATTTGATTACAGGTTGCACCAGCCACAACATTGCCCGAGGATAAGGCACCTGAGGTGACAAAGATCGAGGAAGCACCCGCGGAAGAAGTGGCCTCCCCCGTCGTAACCGAGCAACCCGTTGTTGAGGCGCCGGCTGCCGAGGAGTCGGTGCCCGCAGAAGAATCCGACGCGCCGGTTGAAGTTGAAACCAAGGAAGTTGTGGAGGAAACCAAGGCAGAAGAGTCAACAGAGCCAGCTGTTGCTGAGCAGACCACCAGGGAATTGGACATCACCGAGGCCCCGGCTGCTCCTGCCGAGGTGGAAGCCCCCGCTGCTCCAGCCGAGGAGGAGGCACCGGCCGCTCCCGCCGAGGTGGAAGCACCGGCGGCTTCGGCCGAGGAGGTCGCGCCCGCTGCACCTGCCGAGGAGGAAGCTCCTGCCGCTCCGGCCAAGGAGGAAGCTCCTGCCGCTCCTGCCGAGGAGGTTGCACCAGCCGCTCCTGCTGAGGAGGAAGCCCCTGCCGCTCCGGTCAAGGTGGAAGCACCGGCGGCAGAGTAAGAATGATCTGGCACTCAAGTTGCCTTTGAGGAAGTCGAGTAGATATCGTCACCATTTTTCAAGAAGAGAGTGCGAGAGGGAAAGATAAGTGAATGTGGTGGTGTTTCTACTCTTTAGTTATAATGGGGTTCTTGGGTTTCTAGGTTTGCATGTCGAAGTTGGTAAGGTTTTGCTCGTTATGTTTTTCTTGGTTTAGTTTCTTCCTATATTAAATATGGAGTAGACCATGTTGTGGTTACTATGGTTTGATCGAGTCTAGAATCAGAAGATGCCCACTTGGAGCCACGTCAGCATCCACCTCCACCGCAAGAAAGAAAGGCTGATAATTGTTTTATTTGAGGCGAGGCTGCTGTGCTATTTTGGGGGTGATGGCTGGAGGATTGCAGTTGAAGGGAGGGTGCGATGTTGGTGCATGCCAAGGAGGGTTTTATATGGTTGCTAGCGATGTGTGATGAGATATGAATAATGAAATTTGCTGTTTCTTCTTCTACTTCCTCCTAGTTGTTTTGTTTTCTCATTCCTATTATCCCCAACATGCACCTAGTTCCGTGATGTTAATGTACCCTAGAATGCCTTATCGGGTGTCGGTTTTGGAAGCAATTTGCTGAGGTTTCGAGAAGCTGCTGTCGACCCAAGATGAAACTCCATCCACGAGGATCGAGGGCGACCTCTAAAGTTATGTGGCGCGGAAGATATCGTGATTCGAATATGAGATTGAAGAGGTATAGGGGTTAGCCAGTTTAACCTATTCATTTAGGTAGCCGGTTCTTGTCCACTCTTCTAGTTCCATTCTTCGCATCAAGAATAGAACAATTACGCCGCCACACTTCTCGGTTGCTCGACCATTTAAGGCGGCTTTGAGCTTTTAGCTGATGGTGAGACACTCTTAATTGAGCTCTAAGAGAGGACCGGAATTTGCACAAGCAATTGGTGTGGCAGTCTAAATTGAGGGCTTGTCACTCGTACAGTTTCAAGGGACAAAAGGTGGACTGGATGCCATTGATTACTAAAGAAGAATCCCACTCCCACTTGACTTCTCTAATCTCTTTGCTTTCTCTGTCGATGTTAGGCAAATGGGGGCCAAAATTCATGACACGCTTGAATAAAAGCAATGCGATTGATTGGCGCGCCCATTTTATCTTTTGATAGAAGGGTCATCTCATATGACTTCTTTAATGCGTGACTTTATTGACGTTGAGCAGGTGCGTAGACATTGTATTTGGCAAAAGCCCTTTCAAATGTCTCAAGATGATAAGATGAATAAAAAAATAACCTCGATAGCGAGTTTACAAGTCCTTTTCGGATGTAAATGACGAGAAATTGGCAAAAGAAGGGTCGACTATAAAATATTATTCTTTACAAGGCGAAAAATATTTGTGGAAATCTCTCTCTCAACACTCTAAGTGAAATCTCTCTTTTGAAGCCATTTGATTTCCCTCGAAGTGCCTTTCCTATATGAATATGAATGTTTTGCTCATCAAGTTGCTAAGTCGATGAAGACTTTCGTGCGATGAATTTGGTTGAATGCAACAAGATGTCACTACTTCTTTTTTGTTCAGCTCGAGCAAATGTACATTTATAGGCAAGACAGCCACTATGTGCGATTCCAACTTTCGCCGACCACTACAGCATAGACGTAGAATCCAAAAGTTGAAATAGTTCCCTCCCTTAGGCTCCGTTTGTTTTGCCGAAATCGAATGAGTAGATGAAAAATATTTTCATTGTCAACGAAAACGTTTACATATAAATTGTTATCGATAACGAATGCATTTTTCATTGATTAATTATTTCAAACGATACAAGCAATCATTTTTTTTTTAAATGCTTTGCAAATCACTCATTTTTCACGAAACAAACGAAACCTTAACCTTTATTTGTAATGCCTTAGTAATGCCTTAGGATCGTGCCACATGAAAGAAAATATGAAGAACATCGAAATATAGTTAAAGCTCAACAGGTAATGCACAAGCCAAAACCCGAGATGGTTCGTGTTTATGGATCTCTGCCTATTTTGAATGTTTTTTACCCCGAAACTCTTTCTCCCTCACAAGAGATGAGAACGGCAGATCCTCCACTGAAGCGAGCTCTCGGAGCTTTTGTTGTCTAAGCCCTGTATGTCCCTAGCCCTATGCATACATATGGTGCACGACTGCATACATTCAACGATGGCCTATACATATATGATGAATGATGAAAAATTTCTGAAAAGGGTTAACTTCCACAGTCCCCTTCATCAAAATACCAAAGTCATTTCCACAGATACATCCAGACAAACCGCAAGGTTGGGAGAGAGAGAGAGAGAGAGAGAGACATGTATTGCAGTCAAATCTTTCTGTATATCTACATGTCAATGCAAAGCGACCATCTTTACCAGAAAAACTAAGTCCCGCAAAGGGTGGAGCTTCCCTTTTCATCCTGCATCCAAACTTTATTTATACCCTGCATCTATAAATATATGTATGAACAACTTAAAAGAGGGGGAACAAAGACCTCAACGACAGAAGACAATGACAGACGAGACAGGATATCTACAACACCCTCTTTAAGTGTCCAATGATAGATCAGATGGTTATGATGCCCTATACTCTGTACAAGTTGAGAGATCCGAATCTTCTATGTGCAATCAAGGACTTTTTCCTAACCCAAAATGATGATTAAACTGAATTGTCACCAAGTACCGAAGCTGCAGCCTACATGTTCTTGAGCGATGATGGAAAGGCGCTGTTGCATGATGGCCATGCTGGGATAAGGTGGAAAGCACAGACGGTAAAAGCATGTATGGGATGATGGTAGGCGGCTCAGGTGCTCCGTGGACTTGTATATGTAAAGGCGAGACGCCAAACCCCGAAAACCCTCCACGGGCAGATACTTCACTGATGTCCAGAAGAAAAGTATATTCTTTTTCTGCTGCGGTGACATTTCGCTGACAATCTGCATTGGATTTACTTAAGGATGTGAAATTGAAGAGAAAGTAATGCAGAATGAATACGGTTTCCATTACAACGTACACAATTAGTGAAGAGAATTTATGCCAATAAGGGTATCAACTAGGTCTCTCAAACTGTATCTAAAGAATGGTTCACCAAAGTAATGAAGTGTCTCCGGGACCTACATTTCGATCCCGTGATGCAAAATTGCATCTCATCACTCCTATTCTACAATAATGCAGCACTAAATTACCATGACTGGAGTGTTATTGGAGGAAAATTTCTACAAGTCCAACCCAAAGAAAACTGCAACTTAAAACCCATACAAGAGTACAGACACATTACGCATCCAACAATCCCAACCTGCCCATAATGTATCGCCCATGGCAACTAGCCCCAAGCATGCATCTTGTGTGGTGAGTCATGGGGCCTAAACCTCAGGAATTTTCATTTTTCTTGTTTTATAAAAATCTGATGCCATTTAAAGCAAGCCAATCTTTCCTCCCTGCAGAGTCCAGACTAACAAACACAGAGAACCATTTTCATGCTTGAGATAGTCAAGAGAGCATTTGTACAGATTATATTTTAGGAGAACGCACCTGCAAACCTAGTTATGTAAATACAACCCTTGCTAATCTAAGAAAGCTTCTTACTTAATATTGGTGTTGCTTACTATAAAAGATAAGTACCATGAAATTGTTCCTTGCACTTGCAGGAGGAATTGGCTAACTTACCATTCATAAGCAAGTGATTACCATATCACCTAGCAGGACAACATGTGTTTCTGGTATGGAGAACTTGATCAGATGGCTTAAAATGTTCCTCTAAGATAATGTTGGACAGAAGAAAAGAGGGTTGCATCCATGTGGTGGTGAACGTCTAAGCAAATTTGAGCAGATTGATTTTGTGACACAATCTAAGTTCAAGGGTTTTTAAACAAGAAGTTTCATTCATCAAATTTTCCCAGAGCATGCTCAGACTGACCAACTTTTGGTTCCAGCTGCAAATTTAATGACAGTAAGAATTAATTGTATGAAGCTAATAATTGACCACTTCCAAAACTCTAGGCCAAGTTATCATCAATGGGCGGAATTGAAGCAGCCACAAATTAGACAAGCTAATTATGTTTAATTAAATTATCTACTCAAGTCCCCAAAAAGATGGAGCATTTTGATGGTACATGGCTGATTGCATGCTTTAGCTAGTTAATTTTAGATCAGTAACATCATGAAAATTAGAGGTCTGCTAGGATTTTAGTAAATTTACTATTTCTACTTTACCTCAAATTGGGAAGATGACACAAACAGTCCCTAAACTTTTGCTCAATGTGCAATTTGGTCCCTGAACTTTTAATTTGTTCAATGTAGTCCTTGAACTTTAGCCTAATGTTTAATGCGGTCCCTGAACTTTTAATTTATTCAATGTGGTCCCTCGACTTTTGGTACATGTTCAACTTAGTCCCTGAACTATATGAAAATTTTCAGTGTGGTCCTTCAATTAATTTAAGTTCAGGGACTACATTGAACATTTTCATATAATTCAGAAACTAAATTGAACATATACCAAAAGTTTAGAGACCACATTTAACAAATTAAAAGTTCAGGGACCACATTGAACATTAGACTAAAGTTCAGAGACTACATTAAACAAATTAAAAGTTCATGGATCAAATTGTACATTGAGCCAAAGTTCAGGGAATGTTTGTGTCATTATCCCCCTCAAATTCAAGGTTTCTTGTTTCGATTTAGAGTCGAATTTTTGCAGAATTCATAAACATGATGTTCTTCCAACTAAGAAATTACTGTTTAATGCGGTTTACTGAATTTTAAGCCATTCTTTGCTTCTGAATTGTGTCCTAAAATTATGTTACTATGATGCTTTAAAAGAACCCAACAGTGCTGCCCATAAGCTTTAGGCGTGATGTCTAAAGGAACTTAGACATAGTAATATCCCTTTCAAATTAGGATCCAAGTCCAGCTCCATCTTTGAGATCCAAAACTTTACATAATAAGACAACAGATTATGAGGTGCCACAGGCCCACAACTATGAAAAGACTATGAGAAAAAAGATAATAAAGGGACAAAACAGATAGCATTCAAGTAAACTGCCATATGCAGAGAGAGATTATTGACTCAAAAGGTAACAAATTAAATGATAAAATTCACAAACACAGGCACATACCTTCCAAAACCAGACTATCTGAGGATCGCTACCTTTGTAACCATTGTACTCGGTATGTGCCTTCCAATCTTCAACAGAAATGTCATTCTCGCTCCCATGTAGCATTTGATCAATATCTTCAAGCTCTAAACTTTGAAAAAAGAACTTCTGCAACCTCAATTCGCTAAGAATATCACCAAAACCTTGTGCAAAATGCGAGACCTGTTGAGATATTGAGGTAACAAACCGATGTTTTATAAGAAGATCAACATAATCATTCCTATTCTTGCTATTAACCACCATGCCCTTCCCACCATCGC